TAGTTACTGTCAGTTGATGGAAGAGACGTTGGAAAAGGGAGAATACATCCTGTATATTCCAAAATTATCACATAAATAATTTCATTTTCATATCTTTGTCTTCATCCATTCGTACTTAAATATGTTTTTTATGTATTTTTTATCCTAAGATGTCAACCTAACGCAATCCATGTGAATCCACAGTAGCTTGTTTGAGGGGGTGAGGGAGAGGGTGTCATTGTTACACTTTGTGATCTTGACATTATCTTGCTTCATCTGAAATTCTAACATTTCCTATCCTCGACAGATTAAAAACTCGACAAAAACTTGCCACTCTACTAATTGCCTAGTAATAAAAACCATCGTTGTCATCAAGATCAAGAATTTTGTAAGATTTGAAAGGTTCTGCCTCATGCGTACATGGATTATAAAAACAGTATGACAGCAGCTTGTGGTGCTTGCTTACATGAATTGAAGTCCAGGTTTGCTCCCTGAAAAAGTCATCGCTTAAGGCGATACGCAGTGTGATTATTTTGACACTTGTGGATCAGAAATCTCAGGTTTTGACTCAGTATTTCTTTTTTTAATGCATTTTCTTTACCGTGACTGAATATGTAAGGAATCAAGATATCTTCATCCATATCAAAACATTCTTGAATAAATTGTAGCTCACCCACCCACATGATAAAACAGTGCATGCTCCATATTTTATAGTTATAAAACAATAGTAAATTTAGTACGTGGTAGTCCATTTTTTACCGTATACTTTTAGAACTCAGTATTTCTTAAGCAGTCAAAGATGAATAATCTATATCACCTCTGATCATGGAAATTTATATTCTTCATCAAACAATTCTTAACTTGGATTAGATCATGCAGAAGAAGGAGATCATAAATAGTATTCTACTAATTAATTTCCTGTTAGCTTGTGTTTAAAGGAATGTTTCTGAGTATATTATATTTAGTGATCAACATAAATAAATAAATAAAAATCGAAAAAACAGGAGAGCTTTCGGCATTTGATGATAAAGGTAGCATCGAATGTTTAAAAGATGAAAGCATGTATATAACGATAACTCACATAGGTGTTAAGCTGACGAATGAAGCTGGAGAAGTTGTTGTGCTTGAAGTATCTGGGTAAAGTGAGCTCTGAGAACTCAGCTGGAGACCATACTATAAACCCATCTCCGTCTGCATTCCAAGAAACAATTCTCTTGCCATGAGGATGATCGACAACTCCATCTGCACGACCTTCTTCTATCAAGTCATAGGTCTTGGATAAAAATGGAGCAGGACATTTTGTCTTCGGAGACTTGATGTTGCTTGAAGAACTGATCTTGCTTGTTGCGCCTGGATCAAGCTGCAGTAAATTGGCTGCCATGTTTTGGCTCAGCTAGATTTATGGAATCCGAGAGGTTTCTTATTAAATGGGGAGGCTTAATTTCTACTTGTAATATATATCATGATCAACACCCTCCAGGAAACCACCCTGGAAGGTGGACTGTTTCTTTTCCTATTATTTCTTTTAGATTTTTTTAGTCTTTTCTTACCTTTTTGTTTTCTTTAGGTGCATGCAACCTTCTTATATCGGAAGGCAACCATTCTTGGAGATCCCCTTCCTGTTACTTTGCTCTCAATTTCTTCCAAAAAAATAATAGTAGCAAGAATTTATGTCACTCGTTTTCTACATTGTAGACGTTACCCCTTCAAAAGTCAGTACATATATTCTGCTTTGAAAAAATAAATAAAAATAAATAAAAACATTGTGTAGCCAAACGATTGGAGTGGCCAAACTATAGTCTATACGGTGGAAATTCCAGCCTCTCTTTTTCTCCCCTTATAAAACAAAAAACAAAAGCCAAGTACTTTCACTTACTTGAACCTAATTTCTCCCATTCAGAGAGTAGCCCAAAGATTTCATTCTACGGAGCTGTGCTGTGGGGCTTTCGCAATTTTTTTTCAAGATAAGACAAAAGAAATAGGTTTCTGATTCTATTGATTGAAGAACGGATTCTACAATACTAATCAGATGGATAGCATTGGACGGATATGATTGGGGTGAATTAATTACCAATTATCATTAAGGTCAACCTACAAAACCAAAAGAAGGGCAGGGAACTTTGACCCTTCTTGGGAAGTGTCTGGCGAGCTTCTTTGTCTGCCTAATGCCATTATTGAATTGTAGGAGTTCATTGCATGATTGTAATCCCTTCATCCATCCAATCCCAATATCGAGAAACCATAGGATGCGACTAAAAAGTTTATATCAAGAGGCTGGTTGGTGATGTGTTTTGTACTGATGTTTTTCTTAAATGTTTTTTAATTATAAAATATATTTTTTCAATATTATTTTATCTTTAATATCATATATTAGAATTACTTAAAAGAATATAAAATGTTTTTTGAATTGAAAAAAAAATTATGGTAACTAATTTGGGTTGAAAGAAATAATATTCTTATAAATCTCATAATTTTAGTATAAATGATTTATTATTCCTTAAATAAAAAAATTAGATATGTTCCTCACTGTAAAAGGAAAAAGATTCCAAATAAAAGATGGAAAGAGATATGAATTGCGGATCAATTTTTAAATTCTCATCCGTCAATCAAGAATTTGAACAAAGAGTTGTTAGTTAGAATTTTAAATTTAAGTGTTTTTCTTATTATGTTGCTAATTGTTTTTTAATTGAAAGTATATTAAAATAATTTTTATATATATTTAATATAGAATATTAAAACTATCCTAAAAAACATATAAAAAATTAATTTAATATTTTTTTAAATAAAAAGTAATTTAAAATATATTTTAAAAAACAAATTAAAACGCAAAAATAAAAACTCTCTCTCTCTCTCACGCCATAATTAATGTTAGAATCTTCCTGAGGGTAGCAAACTCGATTTGACTACTGATGTGGTTAGGTGTTGACTGATGCAAAAGGTGATTTCATTGTATGGAATTGCGGTATACATTGTTTTTTTTTCAAAAAAAATAAATAAATAAAATATATATATATATATTAAAATAATTTTTTTTATTTTTAACATTAAATTATGAAAACAATTAAAAATATTAAAATATCAATTTTTTTTAAAAAAAAAAAAACAGATTTAATTTCAATTCCAAACCAGCACGAAAGAAAGAATTCATTGCTTTTCCCTTTCTCTTTTTCATCGAATCGTTGTCATGTCGGGAGAAAGACCAAATAATTTTTATATTGATTTTATCATTAAAATTTCAAAAATCCTCAATTAAAAAGTGCATCATTTTAAAAAAAGTTTAACTTTTTTTTAAGTGGTTAATTAAAAAATTAAAATATTTTAGTGGTAAAATTGATAAAAAAAAAAAGAGGGTGTGGGTTAAATTTAAAATTAATACTATTCAAATAGTTTGATGACATATTTAATATTAGTCTTCTAATATCTTATACAATAAGGTTTATCTTTTATTGTCAGATTAGCCAAGTAGGAGCTTTAATATAGCTCTTCAAAACTAATCTAAAGTATTAAAACAATTATAGAAATATACTAGTTGTTATTCCATTTTTAATCTACTCAACATTAATTTTTTATTTAACAATTCAATAATAAAAATATCCTTAAAATAACTTGCTAATCAACCAAAATTAAATTTTCTATTTCAATGTCCTGAAAACATAAGAATTAAAAACATATTTATTTTGCTTTAATTTTTTTGATATTTTGATGTGTTGATATTAAAAATAATTTTAAAAATAAAAAAATATTTATTAATATATATTTATAAATAAAAAATATTTTAAAAATAATTACAACTATATTCTCGAAACATTAAAAAAAAAAAAAACCTGAGTTGAGAAGTCCAAGTAAGTCCAAGTAAGGGCAGGGCAGGATTGGACATCTCCTGTCAGCTAGAATCACATGTTCGCCATCTCATGTTATTTTGCCTGGTCCTCACATATCTGACCTTTAAACAGATGCTTTAGGCCTCGTGATGGTGGATGCGGCATATCATTACATATATTTAATATAATTATCACAATATATTATGTGCAAAGTATTTAGAAATACAAACTATTTTATGGAAAGAGACATGTCCTAGAAAAAAAATATTCTGGCACGCAATATTTTTATACAAAACCATTGCTTGACGCTACGATACAAGTTAAAATAATTTTTTTAAAATTTCAAAAAATAAATTCATAAGTTTTGTTAATATATTTTTTTAAAAGAATTAGTTATGAATTCAAAATCTACTATATATTAATTTTTTTGTATATAAAACAATTGATATAGTGACAATATACAATATTTTTATTAATATTTAGATGGTAATATATTAAATTCACCTAAGTTGATCTATAAAATCTAGGACATAATTCTATAAAAAATAAATTATAAAATTCAATTATTAATTAATTTAATTTTAAAAAATATAAAATATAAAAAACAATACTTAATTAAAAAATCAAAATGAATTCAAGATAACAAGTTAAACTTGGTCATGCATGTTATCAAATTTAATAATTTTTTCATCCCTCTTGTTATTTTTCATTTAATATATTATAATAAAATACACTAAAAAAAAATTGATAGCAAAAGCAAGCCTAATTTTTTTTATAAGTAGAATAACAAAAAGAGGGATTTGCATTTTAATTGAGATAAAAAATAGATAATGGATGACAAATGTTGATATTGTATTTTTTAAAAAAAATATGGGATTAAAAATGTATTAAATCATAAAAAAAAAAAAAAAGCAAGTCGGCTGCGTTTAGGCATGTGCACCTGGAACATTAATAATAGGCCTGGCTAGCAACAAGGCCTCTTAATTTTTTAAAAAAATAAAAAAATAAAAGTGAGGATGACACGTCGTAGTGTTTTCTATGCTTTTTTAGGCTATAAAAAATGTGAGGCCCCAGGACCAAAGCATGATTGTTCACTCATGGATTTTATTTTTCCACGTTAGCATAGTAGCAAAAAATATTCCCAAACTATCAAACATTTTCCAATATAGCACCGCCCATGCAGTCACGCAAGCACTGTATCAGCGGCCTGTTGATATAAGCTTGATGTCCATGCACGACTGCTCAAACTGAGATTTCAAAACCATTTCCCCCTCTTTTCCCCCCTTATTTCTCTCTTCCTCTTCCTTCTCCTTCCTCCTTAACGTCACCCGCAGTCTCTACCTCTCAATCTCCCTCTTCATCGTGAAAAAAACTATCTCCACCATTGTTTCTCTCTCCATTTCTCCACCCGCAACATCAAGTCTTTCTCGCCACCAGCACCACCCACAGGAGTGCAGGACCTTTGTTTAAGCAATTTGAAGTATAATTCACCTCCTTCCTCAATTATATGGGAAATTTTTAATTTTTAATATATTTATTTTATGCATTAATATGTGATACTTACATTGTTCTTCGACAAATTGATGATAAGAGTTTCATAGTTGTTCATAAAGTGCAATGATTTATGGCTAAAAGTGAAATGCCTTATTTCGTCATTATTAAGGTACATTACTATGATCAGATAATGTGATAGTTTGAAGTGCATTAATATATCTGTAATGATTTTAACATGATTTATAATGTATATTAATAGTTGAGATTAAAGGGATAATGATTAATAAGTGGTTCATATAAAATATATTAACATTTGACATGCAAGAAGAGATTATATATTTTCAAAATAGTATTTATCTATTGAGTTAGATTTCTACATTTTCTGGTATATAAATAAAATAAGGTGATCCATAACATTATTATATAAGCATACTTCAAGATATTTATATTATTTTCCGCTCACGTCAGCTAATATGTAATCCAAATAATTATGAAACTCATGCATTAAGATATAATAAATTGGTATGAATTAGTATTTCTTTAACATATAATAAAAATCTTATTTATATATTATAAATGATGATATATTCTTTTATTATATATTATACGAATTTTTTAATACGTGAGGGTTGGAGAATCATGATCGCAGTTCATGATGTTGTGCCTGATGCATTCAATACGTGGTTTTCATCATATTATTCCTTACTTGACAAGGTTAAAGAGGCTTAATATTTGGACATTTCAATGGAGAAGAATAAGATTGTTTATCGTGCACCATATTAGATATAGTTAATTTATTAGATGTAATTACATCACACAATCAAATTGAGATTGTTTATTGTAATAAATTATTTGATTTAATAATTGAGTTAAATGACTTGATATGAAATTATAATTTGTGTTGAATTGGATACGTTGAATCTGCTGTGATTGGTGTTGACGAAAACTTGTGGGTTTAGTTGCTTTTTTTAAAGCGTTGAGAAGCGCACTGGAACTGGATTATTCAAGGGTGGCTAACATTTCTTTTTCTTCTTTTTCCAACTTTTTGACTAAAACTATAGATATCATCAAGGACAGGGCTGAAAAACAAATTCTCTGTAGGGGTCGGTCTTGTGTCTGCCACTAATTGCACGGGCTGTGCTATATTGGGAAATGTTTTCCCAAGCTAGTTTGGAAGGTATTTTTTGCGTGAGAAAAAATACTCTTCACTTGTGGCCTGGTTGCAAGGATATGTATGGTCTGCAAACCTCATCATTTATTCTTGGTTTAGTCCATTTTCAAATCAATTCATCGGTATTTTCTTCGCGGCTTCTTACACTGAAGTTCATGCCTCAAATTTTGGTTGCACATTGGAGTTGTGGACACCAGCAATCAACTAATTATCAAGAGAGACAACCGTCATAGGTTCATTTGTGATCGTATGCCTCCATACATGTTTAAATATTTAGACTGTGGTCAGTGATTTTAGTTAAAAAATACATTAAATAATATTATTTTTATTTTTTAAAATTTATTTTTAGTATCAGCATATTGAAACAATTCAAAAACATAAAATAAATAAATTTTAACAAACTTTTATTTGAACCACAATGGGGGTAAGACATCGAATTCCAAAGAAACTACATCCCTTTGGGGAAAAAAAAGGCATGTAGATGTTCAAAAAAAAAACAAGGTAAATGGAAAAGGAAGGTACACATACAAGACTTGGAACATATAGAAGAAGTAGCAAAGATCAGTAAGTCAAAAGCTTTTATTAGTTTATTTCAAACACGCAAAAGAGCTTCAACATCATCAATTTACATAATATTAATACCTTTCATTTTCCAAGACCCTGTATGCAAACGACATTCATTCTAGTAGTGGAGTTTGTCGCCATATCTAACTCCAAGTAGATCTCAGCACCTCTTGTAGAACCCAAGGCGATCCTCATTTGACCATCCCTCAACACATCCAACGCCACCATTGATGATATTTGTTTATCACACCGTAAGTAGCCTGGAACCCTACAAACATGGTTGTTAAAATCACGATTTTAACACGGCACGGAAAGTACTAAATAAACTCCGATAGTAAAAACGGATCGTAAAATCGTAAAATCGTAAGGAATTTTAAAATACATAAAAAAAAATTCATGCTTCAAATAATTCAGTCCTATAATACTGAAATGACATTCAATTCAATCAAATTCAAGAATTTTTAGTCCAATTTTCATCCCATTAATTCAGTCCAATTAATTTAGTCCTATAATACTGAAATGACATTAAATTCAGTCCAATTCAATATTTTTCAATCCAATTTTTATCTCATTAATTTAATTCAATTCAGTCCTATAATATTGAAATGACATTCAATTTAGTCCAATTCAACAGTTTTCAGTTCAATTTTCACCCGAGTAATATTTAGTCCAATTTAGTCAAGATATATAGTATATACTGTGGCATTCAATTCAACAATTTTCTCACCCGATCAATTCCATTCAATTCAACATTATACATATACAAATTACAGGACTGAGCAAAATGAATTACAGGGCAAAATACAAATCTATTAGAAGATTTTGAAGGCAAAATGAACAGGGCAAAATGCAAATCTTTATTACTGGACAATTAAACTCAACACTTAACAGGGCAAAATACAAATCTATTATAGGGGCAAAATCTACTACTGCAGTGATGATGATGAAGGCAAAATGAACTTACGGTGTCGCCCGCTGCTGTTGAAGATGATGATGATGAGCTAAACGGCTGCTTGTGAAGAGGCCCGATGTCGCCTGCTGCTGTTGAAGATGGGAAAGAAAGGAGATCGTTGCCGGCGTGCTGCTGTTAATAAAGATTGCAGAGGAAGCCCGAAGCCGTGAGCTGTTAAGGAGATTGTCGTCGGCCCGTCGCTGTTAAAATCATGATAAACAGAAAAGGAAGTAATGTTCAACCTCATATTTTGTGAGAAAAAACGTGAGAAAAGGAAGTAATGCAGAGGAATGAATATTGAATAATGGAAAAGCTTTTACAAGAAGCACATGAAGAATTCAAACCTTAATTTCAATTTTTATTCAAGAAGCACTTCAATTTCAGAGACTGCAGTAGAGGTCTTTAAACATGCCAATCTTGGTTCATGTGTTGTCGCGACCGTGAGCACTAAGGAAAAAGAAGGAGTAAAAACTGGAATCATTGGACCGTAAGCACTGTCATTGACCGCTTTTATGGAGGATGGAGATCGCTGTCGCCGTTGTTATGGTTGCCGATTAGGGATTTGTTCAGCTGGGAAACTTGGGAAGAGTATTTTGCGCTTTGTGATTTGTGAAGATTAAAGACAATGAATTAATTCACTGAAGTGAAGAGAGTCACGTGAGTCTGTGACTGTGCAAAAAAAATGCAATAGGTGCTTGACAGCTGGACAAGAGAGGAGGATTTTATTTCAGCACCTCATTTTGGCATAATCGCAAAATCAGTCCTGAAATCGCGATTTTGCGTGATTTCATCCGATTTTTGCGATTTAACCCGATTTTACCCATTTTCGATTTTTTCAAGCGATTCAACACGTAAAGCATGTTTTGACTCGTAAAATCGTACGATTTTACGAGTCAAAACGCGATTTTAACAACCTTGCCTACAAGCCTTCAAGTATGCGTTTCTTGGAGTCCAATTTCCAGTGATAACAACGTGACACGAGGGCTTTGGGGATTGTGAGGTCATCTAACACCCGAGTGGTGTCTTGGAGGAAATGTCTGGATCATCGGATCAACAAGTTCTGGTTCTTGTAATAGATTCAACTCATTGGCCGTACGTAATTACCGTTCCTACAATGATGTTTTGAAGGATTAGTGCGTTTTAATTTCCTTTTATTCAAAATACTTAACCCTATTCAATAAGATAAAAGATTCCTATATAACCTGTGAACAAATTTAAGTGGCGGCCAATAATAAGTTGTAGGTCTGTAGCTCAACTGACAACTCTTCTCACAAGAGGCTTTGCGTTCCAAGTTCGTTGCAGAAGAACAAATTGAATGGCAAAATATTGCTGTAGTCATGGCAGAGGAGTTACCATGTGAGTTGGACTGGACCTTGGTCCAAGTATTGCTTGCTCTCAACACATTGATTC